GGGGACGCCCCGCAATGTCTGGGGCGATGCTCTTGGACCCTGCCAAGCCAGCCCTGCCCTTGCACCACCGCCAAACAAGCCGCCAGCTGCCTGTCCCTCTGCCCGTCCGTCCGTCCGTCTGTCCTGCTTTGCCTCTGCCGCGTGTGGCCAGGGCCGGGCGGTTGGCTGGAGCGTGACAGCCCGAGTGTCATTATCGAGGCGAGGCAAACACTCTAGCCCCTGAGCAAACATCCCCCCTGCCGCGATCTGCTCGCCTCACCACTGCCGACGGATGAGCTCGGGAAGCCCTCGGAGCACCCCCACCCATGCTGGCACCCCTTCACGGGACCCCCGTGCTCCGTCCGTCTCCAATTTCACCCCCTTCATCCTTTCTTCTGCCTCTAGGAGACCTTTTGCGGCACTGGACCTCAGCACCCCCGGTCCCTTAGCAGGGCAGAGCCGTACGGGCAGATGAATTGTCGGTGTAGGCTGGGGTGGGCGGTGGGAAGGTGGGGTGAAGCCCCCAGCTCTTGGGAGGAGGCACAGAGTTGTGGGGTCGTGGGTGTGGGGGTCACACAGGGTCCTGTGTCAAACGTGTGTGGCAAAGGGACATCAGTCCTCTCTCCAGCGTGGGCATCGCCCTGCAGTGGAAGAAGGTGCTGAGATCCGGCCAAAAAGGCAGCAGGGTGCTAACCCCTCCCCAGGGGTTGATATCATCATCTCATGAGGTCCAGGCTCTGCTTCCTCCCAGCCTGCTCTCCTGTGTAAAGCCCTGAGGGTGCTAACTGGCCTTAATTGCTCTAAGCAGCCTCACCTGAGACCTCCACCCCACACCCATGGGCCCAGGAACCCATTTAAGCTCAGCCTGGGGCCTCCAGCTCCTCCCTGAGCTGTGTTGTAGCTGTCTCAGCACCAGCACAGCCATGGACACTGCTGGTTCCCCAGCTTGACCTCGGCCCTGTCTCATCCCTGCCAACCTGGGCCTGCTGGCTGGGTTGTCACTCCCATGGGAGCTGCTGGCCATCACTGTGCCCCACGCATGGGGCCGTGCATCTCGTGACCTCCACGGTGAGGCTGCAGGCAGCAGTTGGCAAAGCTTCTTGACCCTGAAGCCATCCAGGACCTGTTCTGGAGGCAGCAGGGCTGAATCTTGATGCTGTGACGCCCCCAGGTGACTTTGCCACGTGTCCGAGAGCCTCCAATACCTTCTTGATGTCCAACCAACACCATCAAGAAGTTCCCTTCAGCCTCTGCTTGTGCCCAGGCCAAGAGCAAGGTGAACCCCAGGAAAGTCTGTGCCACCCTTTCTTGGGGCGAGTGGTGCCTGAGCTTCAGCAAAGGGCCTCAGTGGCCCCAGGGCCACAAGACCCCGTGGCATGAGGGGGGCGTCCAACACCGTGTCCCCTGGGTGGATTCTCCAGTGT